CTTCTCTGTGTAATTAAAACTCCCCTGAAATGATCCTGGTGCTCAATCCAAGATTCAGCAGTCATTCATGGCTGTATCAGTTAGTTTGGCTTTACAACAGCATACTTAAGGCAAAAAACCTAGAAAGGCTATGCTCACAAATACAGGTTAGAGCCTAAGACTGGGATGGGGGGGGGTGTCATATCACAAGGGTGGAACCTCATGACAGGGACACAAAACAGGAACCAGGAAAGGGAGAGAGGAGAGAGAGGGCAGAACAGAGAGGGGGAGAGAGAGAGGGCGAAAGGGAGAGAGAGAACAGTCACTTTCAGTGACAAGACCCATCTAGCCTAAGGACCTCTCCCTGGGACCTAGCCATAAATGTTCCCAGTACTAGGGAGGAGAGCCTTGGTCCTGCCTCAACTTGATGTGCCAGGCTTTGTTGACTCCCCAGTGGAGGCCTTTCCCTTTCTGAGGACTGGATGAGAGGTGGGGTGCTGGGGCCAGGGGAGGGGGCGCAGGAAACTATGGTTGGTATGTAAAATGAATAGAAAATTTAAAAGAAAAAGAGAAGATGTTCCCAGCGCTTTCCAATAGCACTGAGGCGCATAGGCCTTTGGAGGATACACACAAACCTCAGCAGTGGACACTTTTGACCTGGCATCAAATATAAAGAGAATTCAGACAATCAGACCATGACCAGGGGCCATGTCCAGTGCTTTTTTTTCTGGGCCATTTAATGAAGGACAAAGCAAAAGAGGAAACCTCATATATCGAGTCAAAGGCCATGGTCTAACTTCATAAGCATCTCTGGGCTCTGGGGGCCTCACATTTATTTAGAATTTTGACACAGGGGCTCTAGGGAGAAGATCACAGTCAATCAGTGTGGGCTTTGGAGGCAAGTGGGCAGTGAGAGATTGCGCTTCTGTGCTGTGGAATAATCTTTTTGTACACTGTGAAGGTGTGTCTCTGCCACGGCACCTTCCGCTTGGTTTACTAAAGAGCTGAAATGGTCAATAGCTAGTCAGGAAGAGGTTATGTGGAACTCCCGGGCAGAGAGAGGAAGGAAGAGGAGATGAATGGGCGCGTGGGGGAAATGCAAGAGGTCATACAGAGGAAACAGGAGGTGCAAGCTGGAAGAGAGATAAAAAAAAAAAGTCTAAAGGCAAAACTTAGACTAATATAAATGGGTTCATTTACATTATGAGAGCTAGTGGGACAAGCCTAAGCTATAATCAATTTTAACTCTGTGTCATTTTTTGTGATCTGGGCCACCCAAAGAAAAACCCATCTACACTTCTGGACACCTCAGCTTATTATGTCACATTGGTTTTGGTTCACAGTTTCAGTGATGTCTATCATGGTCAGGAGGATACAGTAAGAAGAGCAGTTTACATCTTGGTGACAAGGAGGCCCACAAATGTACTCCAAGAAGGGTCAGAGCAGGATACCTCTAAGTGCACACTTCACTGCCAGTGATGGCCTCATCCAATCTGACTCAGTCTTTACCACCATCCTAAAAAGCCAATATGTTATACAAATCAAGGGTTGGATTCATTCATTAAGCCAGAGGCCTCAAGACCTGTCTCCCCAGAAGTGTGCTTCCCTAATCTCCTGGTCAGTTCTCAACATGATCAAGTTGGCAATTACGACCAACCATCATGGGCAGGAGAGACGACACCTCTGATAAAAAGCTTATTTGACCCCAGAACCCAAAGTTGGTTGAGCATATTTTTTTGTTTCTTTTTTCCTCAGAAAACTCATGTTCAATTTTTCATCTTTATTTATTTTTGACAATTTCATACATGTAAAAATACATACCGGTCTCACTCAACCTCCACCCCTGGCACCCTCTCTGATTTCCCTTCTCTCCGCACTACCCTGTCATAGTCAGACCCATCTGCAAGTCACATCCCACTTTCTTGTCATTTTGTTTTGTGATCCATTAAATTGTACCATGGGTGCCATATTGGATGTGGGCGTAGAGTGATCTAATGCACTTTGGATTTGTTTGTTTTCAATACATATCAACCACAGCTTCCCCTCTCTCTATTCCTACCCCCACCATTTTACTTTAATTATGTGGATTATAGGAATTTGTGAGCCACCCTGTGCTAGGAACCAAATTCAGGTTCTCTGCAAAAGCGGTGCATACTCTCAATGGCTAAGCCATCTCTCCAGTTCCCTGCATGTTGACTTGTTTATTGTGCTGGCTCATTTTATGTCAACTTGACACAAGTCCTTAAGATCAGGCTGTAAGACATGTTCTCAATTAGTTATTGATGTGGGAGGACCCAGTCCCCTGTGGGTGAGACCCCCCTGCTCTGAGGGTTCTGTGTTCTATAAGACAGCAGGCTGAGCAAGCCATGAAAAACAAGCCAGTAAGCAGCTCTCCTCCATGGCCTCTGTATCAGCTCCTGCCTCCAGGTTCCTGCCCTGCTTGGGTTCCTGTCCTGACTTCCCTTGATGATAAATTGTGATGTGGAAGTGTAGGCGAAATAAACCCTTTCCTCCCCAAGTTGCTTTTTGTCATGGTGTTTCATCACAGCATAGTAACCCTAACTAAGACATTTATCTAAATTTTGTTTTGCTTTATTTCTGAAGGATGATCATATAAGTTTGGCCCTATGAGACATTTATAGATTTCCATGTGTGGATTGTGATAAACCCGTGATGATGAGTGGCCTTTTTTCTATGTGAGAGTTGGTTTGTCAGTATTTTGTCTGGAGTTTTGCATCTACTCAAGATAAGGCAGTGTAGGCTCAGGCTCCACTTGGCTGGAACCTGGAATCATTGGGTATTACTTGCAGCTGTGTCCTCTGGTGCTGGTCTAAAGACGGTGTGTTCGGATGAGAGTCTAGAGGTAATATCCAGCCTGAATACTGGGTTACTTGGAGCCAGACTGGACCTAAGATACATAAGTGTAGTTGTGGAGCCTGTGTTCGGCTCTCAAGTCTAGAGATAAGCTTGAGACTTGAGTCAACTGGGATATGGGATTGCTAAGGTCAAGAAGTATCAGACTGTATAGCTTGGATGTTGTGTATTTGCAGGTGCCCAAGTGGTGTTTAAAGCCATGGCTACTGACACTTCATGAGATATGACCCAAACCTGCAGTCAGAAAGCAGCTTAGAACTGAGTGGGCCTGCATCCTCTATGAATGCAGACAAGCCTAGACACCGGGACCAGAGCTGATAACCTGGTACATAGAGGTGGGAGGGTCAGCCTCATGCTGGTGTGAGCCTTATGCTTAGAAGAACAGCAACCTGCTATTAACAGTGGTCTAGAGCCTGTAGTTTAGAGGCCAACTTGGCCAAATAATGGGGTAGGGAGCTGGCCTAGCACAAGCCTGAAGCTCAGGGCCTTGGGGTTGACCTGGTCCTGAAGCAGGTACAAAGGAAGTCATCTAGGCCATCCTGAATCCTTAATATATGGTGTGTTCCTCCTGTCCAAAGTAGGTTTAAAGGCTCAGTCTGAAGTTGTGGTCTGGATGCAAAGTGTCTACCATACCATGCTGGGAGACTATATAGGAAGTATCTACATAGGGCATCAGGAAGCCTAGGTTCTCAGTGCTGACCTAATAATTAGGCCGGTAAAAGGGAGTTCTTTTTTGTTTGGTTGGTTTTTGTTTTGTTTTGTTTGAGACAGGGTTTCTCTGTTTGAGGCAGGGTTTCTCTGCCTATCCTGGCACTCGCTCTGTAGAACAGGCTGGCCTCGAACTCACAGAGATCCACCTGCCTTTGCCTCCCGAGTGCTGGGACTAAAGGTGTGCGCCCAACAATGCCAAACCAAAAGGAGGTTCTTAATTGGTCTAAACCTGGAGTCAGATTTAGAGGAAAATGTTGAGATCAGAAAAAAAAATGAGCAAGCCAAAGTCACCTTTACCTCCTTAGCCTCTCAGTGGATAAGAGAGCCAGTTCCTGCTTCTTCACGCTCATATCCTCTCTTTGTGCCCAGCCAGCCATCTCACTTCCTGTCTGCCCATACAGATCTCCAGACCTCTATGGTTAGCTAGTGGCAAGCTCCATCCTCTCATTTTCAGACAGGCTTTATTTGTACAAGCAAGATAGTACCACATAGGCCTATGCAGGTCAGCCTGGTTCTGGGAGCAGCCTGGGGCCTGCTGCCACTGGGGCTGGCTAGCACTGAAGGCAGTCTCCTGCTGTTGATGAATATTTCCTTGTAAATGTCTCCCAGTTTGTTAGAAACCTGGATCCTGTCATGGGCCAGGTACTCATACATTTATTTACTTCATTTAATGTAACAGAAAGAATTACCTCCATATAACCAAAACAAAAATTATGAAAGAACTGCTCTTTTAAAAAAATGAAATAAAATGGGTCATTTGCCAATTCCTCACATTAAACTGGTACCTGAGAAAGTCCATAAGAGTAGCTTGTGAATTCTAAGTCACATAAGGCGGCAAAATTCCTACAATTGGGAATCATTAGAAATGCAATCAAGAGTAGGGGAGGAACCTAGTGTGGTGATGCACACCCTTGATCCCAGAACTCAGGAAGCGGAGGCAGGGGAATCTCTGTGAGTTTGCGGCCAACCTGGTCTACACAGTGAGTGCTAGGACAGACTCCAAAGCCACACAGAGAAACCCTGTCTCAAAAAACAAAGAGTAGGAGAAGGACTTTGAAAGAAGGGATTTGATGGGAATGGAGAGGAAGAAAGAGATGGTAATAAGGGGACTTCGGCCAGGCGTTGGTGGCACACGCCTTTAATCCCAGCACTCGGGAGGCAGAGGCAGGCGGATCTCTGTGAGTTCGAGGCCAGCCTGGTCTCTAGAGCTAGTTCCAGGACAGGCTCCAAAGCTACACAGAGAAACCCTGTCTCAAAAAACCAAAAAAAAAAAAAAAAGGGGGGGGGCGACTTCGATCAAATAATATGATCTATAATGTGAAATTGTAAAAGAAAAAACAACTCACTTAAAACAACTCATTGAAAAGCAAGATATTCAGGGGAGAATGGGAGAGTGGTATGAAGAAGAGGAAAGAAAAGGCACACTCAAGCCCAGCTGTTAGCAAATTTTTTTTTTTGAAGTACGTTCACCTTTTACCCACCAATAAACACAGGGCTTCTAAAAGTAAGCACACATCCATGAGCTGGCATGAGGCCGGGCCAGTGAGAAGGCAGGCTCATTTCTTTCTTTCATAAAACTTCTGCAAAAAGAGAAAGTTTAGATTCTTAGAGAAACAGTTTTCTGAGAAACAAGCGTTCATCCTCAAGCTGCAGTCTGGTTCCCACTGGCTGACACTCCATACTGACACCACGACCTGTCCACTTCCCAGCATGGAGAAATCTGGCTGAGCCCAGTGTCTCCTCAGAAAAGTCTATTGATGGAGTCAATGCTTACAAATGCAGATGAACTAGGAAATAGGCATTTAAAAGAGGCATGACTTTCATCCTAGCTCTTGGGAAGCAGAGGCAGGCAGATCTCTGTGAGTTTGAAGCCAGCCTGGTCTACATATTCCAGGACAGTCGGGGCTACAGAGAGACCCCATATTAAAAAAAAAAAAAAAAAAAAAGCTGTGTGATTTACCATTGAATTGTTTTCCCAGTTTGGAGTCCCTCCCTCCCTCCCTCCCTCCCTCTCTCCCTCTCTTCCTCTCTCTCTCTCTTTCCCTTTCTCTTCTCTTTCCCTCTCTCCACTCTCTCCTCTCTCTCCCCTTCCCCTCCCTCTTTTTCCCTCCCTCCCTGATTCCCTTCGTGTGTGTGTGTGTGTGTGTGTGTGTGTGTGTGTGTGTGTGTGTGTGTGTATCTGTACATGTGTCTGTGTGTCTGCCTGCTTGTGTGTTGGTCTGTGTGTGGATGGGTCTTTGTAGACTTTGTAGATGTGTCAGTGTGTATGTCGTGGGTATGTGTGTATCTGCATTTGTGTGTGTGTGTGTGTGTGTGTGTGTGTGTGTGTGTGTGTGCGTGATTGTGTATATCTGTATGTGCATGTCTATACATGTTTGGGGTTATTTGAATGTGTTTATGTATGTCTGTGTGTCTGTCTGTCTCTATTGTGTTATCTATACTTGTCTATGGGAGGGGTATGTGGATGTGTTTATGTATGTCCGTGTGTGTCTGGGTGTATCTAGGTATGCCTGTGTCTATGTCTGTGTCTGTCTTTCTGTGTGTGAGTGTTTGTGTGTGGGTCTCTGTGTGTGTAGGAGTGTTTGTCGGTGTGTGGGTCTTGTGTGTGCCTCAGATTTGGGCAACTTTGGTCTTCTGTTGAGGAATAACAGTCTGAGGCAGAGGGTGACATCAGTGAAGACAACGACCCACACACATCTGCAGCTCACCCCAGTTTCTGCACAGATGTTACCACAGTAGGTCCAGCAGCATTTGTAACTTTTGTGTACACATTTGAAAGTTCTAGAACACCTTTTGGTACAATCATTAGCTTTTGGTTGTCCCCAGCACTCCTCAAGTAACAGCTCTCCCTCTGAAATCAAAACGAAACGATAGAGGCTAATAGAGCTCCACAGGCAGGCATAGTAAGACAAGCCCTTCCTGAGGTCAGAGCTTCCTCCCAGAGTCAGAGTCCCATATCCCTGTCAAGGTGTCTGTCTTCTGTGTTCCCTCACCCTGATGTCATCGAATTGGCCCTAATCTCACAGGCTCTCCACTGAACTCATTACCTCAGTTCCCACAGGGACTTATCAGGTTCTGTATATCCCCAACATCTATTAAATATAGATTGATTTAACAAGAGATAAAGTCTGAGATATCTATTACCTTCATTACAATACCTGTCTCAGGTAGACAGAGAGTATGAGTAGGCTTTCTGGTTTTGTGTAGCAGTCTTGCAGTTAACTTGTAACGGTGGCCACACCCCCTTGGGCATGGTCTCAGGCAGACAGAAGCAGAAAGGGGGAAGCTTGAGGCATGACTTTCCTTTGCTCTTCCTTTCTGGTGGGTCTGCCAATCCGGTAGGAAGGACAGAGAAGCATTCCTGCGGTTCTTTGTATTTTTCTGTGTAATTATTCCCCAATAAACACCCACTTATCATTTATTTTGGGTCTAGTGAAATCATTACATCCTCGCCTTCAGTTTTAGCCTAGGCTATCCTTGAGCTCACATAAAGCTAAAGATGCCCCCAAACTCCTGCTTCCACCTCCCAAGTGCTGGGATTACAGGCACGCTCAACCATGCCTGGCTTGAAGCAGGTTTTCTCTATACTTCTTTACTGACTGTTCCATGACACACATGTGGAGGACAGGGGACAGTTCTGCGGAGTTGGCTCTCTCCTTCCGTGTATATGTGGGTTCCAAGGTTCAACCCCAGGCCCTCAGGCTTTCCTGACAAGCACTTTCCCCACTGAATTACTTCACTGGCTTCTCTCCAAACCCTCATCTCTCAATCTGCCTCCTTCATCCCCTCCACATTCTCCACTAAGGTCTCTGGCGCCTTCTCACAGGCTAAAAGATGTCTGTACTATCAGGTTTCTTTACTAGATACCCATTTGCTTCTCATGGAAGGAATCACAGAACTTCCGCAAGTGTGGAGGAAGGGAGTTCTGTATTGGCTCTCGCTCCTCAGAGGGACTGGGAAATATTCCCTCTTTATTGCTCGGGATGTGTATGAATGCTGCTGTTTGGGAAGCTTCCCAGCTGGAGGGTTTCTCACATTCTCCAACAGCTGGTCTGGAAAGGCAGAACTGAATCAAAATGCCAGACATGACACCCACTCCCTTGTCAGGACCCAACCCTGGCTGACATGACACTCACTCCCTTGTCAGGACCCGACCCTGCCTGACATGACACTCACTCCCTTGTCAGGACCCGACCCTGCCTGACATGACACTCACTCCCTTGTCAGGACCCGACCCTGCCTGACATGACACTCACTCCCTTGTCGAGGAAGTGAGCACCTCCCACCACCTACCAGAGTACTTCTTCTTTCTCCCTGCCAGGGCAGGCAGCAGCAGCACGCAGAGGAACACCACAGACCGGAGCAGCGATGGCTTCATGATGCTGACCAGAAGTGTCTAGAGATGCTTTTTTTCCCCCTTCCTAGGGGCTGCTGGAGATCAAACATATAAGTTGGGAAATGAAGGTGTGAACCAAGGGGAAGCACCTGTGAGTTTTTTAATAATCAGTCTTCTAGTTAGAAGCCTCGCCCTCCATCAGATAGCATCTGAACTCCACCTTGGCCAAATGATAGCTATGAAGTGCCTCTGCTAAAGAAAATATTTAGCATATGTTCTACCTTTCCTTGATTAAAAGACAATTCAAACTATGGCTTGAGACTTACAAAATCTACATATAAAATATTACAGAATCTTAAATATTAAAAAAATCACACAAGGGAACTAAAAATCTCCTGATTCCATTTTACTGGTGATATGCTATCACCATTTATATGGACAAATGTATATAAACTGGATAAAACTGAAATTACATGGCATCCTTTCTATTCTTTTTTATTTATTATATATACAGTGTTCTGTCTGCATGTGTGCCTGAACACTGGAAGAGGGCACCAGATCTCATTACAGACAGTTGTGAGCCACCATGTGGTTGCTGGGAATTGAACTCAAGACCTCTGGAAGAGCAGCCAGTGCTCTTAACCTCTGAGCCATCTCTCCAACCCCCTCTTTTTTATTTATTTACATATGCTTGTGTGTGACATATGGTTGTCAACTGTCCCACGTGGGTGCTGGGAACTTAACTCAGATCCTCTGGAAGAGCAGAAACTGCCCTTAACTACTGAGCCACCTCTCCAGTCCCTCTTTTTTAATTGTATATCTAATTTTTAGTTAGCATTCAAAGTAACAAGTTACTTTCTTTAGAAAATATTCTTTAATCACTAAATTTATTTTTAAGTGTCGCATATCCATACTGTATTTTCATCATTTAGCGTCTCCCTTCCCTTTCCTCCTTCTGACCCATCTCATGCCCCCCTCACCTCACTGTCTTCCCCCAATTCATGGCTTCTTTTTCTTAATTATTATTGTTGTACACTTATATAGATAAATTAATATATAAACACAACCTGATATGTTCATTTTGGTGTTGTTTACATGTGTGTATTTAGGGATGACCACTTGAGGTTGGATCACCTATGGGGGGGGGCTCATCCCCAGAGGGGTCTGACTCCCCCCTCTCAGCAGCCATTAATTGCCTGCAGCCCTTCATCGAGGGATGGGCCTTGTGAGAGGTCCTCTTTCCACACTGGCATGTCAATTGGAATTGTCACCGTGCCAATTTTGTGAGGCAACCATACTGCTGCGATTCCATGGGTACAGCTCTCTTGCACACGCCTTCCCTTGGTGATAGCCAACAGATCTCTGCTGGAACTTAAGACCCACTCAACAAAAGGGAAATCATGCCTGATACTGGAAATCTAGCTGATACTCAGGGCTCGTGAATTCTCGGACTTGAAGAAGATCTACAACTGACATTTTACTAACCCTGTATAACCCATAACTATATTCTAAATATTTATCTTTGTACCAGCAGTTAAGTGTAGTTGTCACCCCGACTAAGGAAACTTCTCTTTGCAACAGAGAACATTGCTGAAAGTACAACTTATCAAAAAGCAGAGTTCTGAGTCTCAGTCACAACGGATACATCTACAACACATCTCTTGCACCTGAGGCTCAGGGAGCATCGCAGAAGAGGGTTTGGAAAGATGGTAAGAGCCCAGGGAAGTTTTCTGTGAGAGTGTGTCTCCTAGAAATATCAGGGAAACTACAGCCATGAAGTCTTACCAACATGGCTGACAAGCAAGACCTGAACAAGAATGACATGAATAAACATGCCAGTGTAGAGGCTCACAGAACCTCAACCCTAGACAAAGAACTCCAGGCAACTAAGGGATGCTGAGAATGGGAGAAATAGTCCTCCCCACGGATGAGCACACCCACTGGTATCCAATACTAAAGGGTCAGCCCTGAAAACATACATGCAAGTAACATTATACATAGCAGGTTTTATTTATATAAACTTAGAAATAAATACGCTCTCTCTATATAGAAACATTGATATAGATATCGACAATTAAGGAAAAAGAAGTTGTGACTTTGGAATAGTACAAGGAGGCACAAAGGGAGGATTGGAGGGAGGAAAAGGAAGGGAGATGGTGTAATTATACAAAGACTCTGTCTCAAAAAAGAGGTAAAAGAAGAAAAAGAAATGGAACCACCCTAAGTGTCCATCAACAGATGAAGAAATAAAGAAAAAGCAGGATATAGACAGTGAGATTTTTATTCAGCTATAAAAACGAAATTATGACATTTACAGGAAAATGGACACAACTGGAAGTCATTACATGAAGCAAAAAAAATCAAACTGAGAAAAATCTGTTCTGTGTTGTTTCTCTCACATGTGGGGTCTAGATTTTAAAAACCGTGTGTGTGTGTGTGTGTGTGTGTGTGTGTGTGTGTGTGTGTGTGTGTATGTGTGCTATAATGGGTTTCATTCTATTTTCATTCTATTCCAATAAAGTATGAAATTAGTAAGGGGATCATGAGAGGGGAGGAAGAAATTTTAAGGAGAAGGGGAAAGCACAGCAACATGATGCAACATGACAAGAGAATAGGCGAGTATTTGTGGTGAAGAGACAAACCAGCCAGAGAAAGGCATGGCACAGGGAAAGGGGGGGTTCTGGGGGGGAAGACAGGAAAGTAGAACAAAGTATAATGCATGAAAATGGCATAATTAAGCCCATTAATTTGTATTCTAACTTAAAAATTAAACAAGAAAAAGTTTTTAACAAAACAATTTGAAACTGAAATCACTAGAGAATAATAGAGGAACATTACTTCAAGATGCAGGCACAGGGAGGTGCTAGTGCAGGCCCAGGCAGCTGAACATGCAGCTGCAGGCACAGATAAGTACAGGTGCAGGTGCAGGTGCAGACACAGGCAGGTGCAGGTGCAGGTGCAGGCACAGGCAGATGCAGGCACAGGCAGGTGCAGGCACAGGCAGGTGCAGGTGCAGGCACAGACACAGGCAGGTGCAGACACAGGCAGGTGCAGGTACAGGCACAGACAGGTTGGGAGAGAGGAAGGAAGGAAGGGTGTGTCTCCCCTCCAGGGTGAGGCCTCTCAGGAGATTCCCTCAGAATTAAGACCAGAGCTGTATCTTCAGGTAATTCCAAGGTCAATGCAATTGGCAATGGAGATTAACAATCACCACATCTTTAGCCACCATAGAAATGCACATTAAAATTGCTTTGCAATATCATCTCACCCCATTCAGAATGGCGTCACCAAGGAAACAAAGAACTAATGCTGATGAGTAGGGAAAGGCCCTTATCTGATGCTGGTGGGAGTGCAAACAAGTCCAGCCGCTGTGGAAATCGGTGTGGAGCTCCTCGGAAATTTAAATCAGAGCTATTATATGACCTGGGAGCACCACTCCTGGGTATATACCTGAAAGCAATCAAAGCCAGCGTACTGCAGAGATACTTGTAATGCCCACGTTTGCTGCTGCACTAACCAAGATACAACCAAAAACCTAGGTACCCACCAAATGAATGGAGAAAGAAAATGTGATGCATGGACACAGCAGAATTCTACTTAGCCATAAAGAAGGAAAGTCTGTCACCTGAAGGAAAATGGATGGAGCTGGAGGCCATCATGAAATAAACCAAACTCAGCAGTATTACAGACTTTGCCTTATATGTGGGATCTCAGTTTAAATATATATTTATCAATTTATAAAAATAGCATTTATATATAAATATGATATATGGTATATACTATAACAATACATTATTAAATTTATTGTCTATTGTAATATATAATAGTATGTAATATGTATGTAAATACATATAGTATATCTAGGGTATGAAATAGAAAGGAGGTGATGAAGGGGAGGGGAAGATCTAACAGGAGGGGGGAGCAACACAGAGGATAATGCAGGGCAGAAAGACGAAACGTAACTCTTATGCACAGGACAGAAACTGTGCTCCCTGTTCTGCAGGGAGGGGAGAGAGGAACAAGAGAAGGCAACGTGGGCATAGACGAAGTGTCTCTTTAGAGGGAGGAAAGGACTAACAAGGGGAGGAGGGATGGACAGGGTGCTGAAGGGATTATGAGCAAGGCACGGGGTGAGATGGCTCAGCGGTTAAGAGCAAGCTGCTTTTCCAGAGGACCCAGCATCCACAAGGCCGCTCGCAATCATTGGTACCTCCAGCTGCAGGGCATCTGGGTCTTTCTTCCAGCTCCACAGGCGCTGCAGGCACAAGCTGGACAGACACACATGCAGGCTGCACACTCACATACGTAAAAAATAATAATAAGTGAATCTCAAAATAATAAAATAAAAGAACAAGGCACGTGCCAAGCATGGTGCACACACCTTTGATCCCAGCACCCGAGAAGCAGAGGCAAGCGGATCTCTGTGAGTTCGAGGACAGCCTGGTCTATATAGCGAGTTTCAGGACAGCCAGGGCTACATAGTGAGACCCTGTCTCAAAAATAAAAAGAGCAAGGTACTTTTTATGTATGTATATATGTATGTATGGAAATGTCACAATGAAGAGTCCATTTGATTTATTGCCCTCGTTTCTAAATACTTCAGTGAGGGTCCTTTAACAAAAGGTCCTTCTCTTACTCGGACATGGCACATGTACCAACTTCACGGAGTTTTATGCTGATAAAAATGGACTAAGATTGCATCTCCCCGAGTATTCCATCTTTCGGGAACTCCAAGAAACACTACTGCACCTCAACCTGTGGGTCTTGACTCCTTTGCCGTCCTGCATATCAGATATTTACATTACGATTCATGACAGTAGCAAAATTAGTTATGAAGCTGCAATGAAAATAATTTTATGGTTGGGGGGTCACCACAGCACGAGGAACTGCACTAAAGGGTTGCAACATTAGGAAGATTGAGAACCACTGTTTTAAGCAATGCCCAAATGAGTCTCTACAGGCTCACTTACAGTTCCAGACCCTGCTCTCTGCCTACCTCTGAGGATGTTCTCAGTTAGAGGCGCTTACAGTCGTTTGTCTGGTGGTGCTTTCTCCTCAGTTCCAGGGACAGTGGAACCTCTGCACACAGGGCAAG